TCCTTCCTTCCTTCCTTCCTTCCTTCCTTCCTTCCTTCCTTCCTCCTTCCTTCCTTCCTTCCTTCCTTCCTTCCTTCCTCCCTCCCTCCCTCCCTCCCTCCCTCCTTCCTTCCTTCCTTCCTTCCTTCCCTAGTTCCCTCCATCCTTCCCTCCCTGCTAAAAATTTTTTTAAACACGGAACCACCCCAAAACATTTGCAAGCTGCAGATCCGAACCTCTGGATCTGCCAGCCTGCTTCTCCTGAAAATTTACACCGCTCTCTCCTCACCTCCATCCTCCTCTCCTCTTTCTCTACTCAGGGATTCCCTTGGGATCCACCCATTGGCTTCTCTTCTCTTGGAACTGGGCGTTTCTCGGCTGCTGTGTGCCGATGCTTTGTACCAGCTGGGTCGCCTGGAAGAGAGCCACCAGATCCTCCGGTTGGGTCTCTCAAAGGATCCTGAGAGATCCCCCGTTCTGGTCAGGCTGGCTCTCCTTCAGCTAAAGAAAGGCCATGTGGACGGATGCAATGAGGTGAGTCCATAGATCCTCAATTCCTTTAAATCGCTTTGCCAACTAAACTCCGGCTGGTTGAATTCCCAGATGAATTCATTGATAGATCGCGTCTGCCGGGCAGTCCTCGACTTACAACAGTTTTGTCAACTCATAAATATTTCTCTTATCTTTTTAGAGTTGCCAACAGAAAGGGAGGAGGGAGCAGTGCAGCTGCTTGCAAACTGAAACTGCATTCCGTAAATAGTTTTTCAAAGATAGTAACTAGGTGACTGAAGTTTCTGCCGTGCAAAATTCTAACTGGAGAGTATGATTAATGATTCTTGGCTAGGGATGTGTCCCATTGGAGAATATGATCTATGACACATCCAGGGGTTGGAGCGGAAAACCAGGGTCATAGGTGACAATGAATGATGGGTCTCAGAGTCGGCTGCACCCAGGCAGTGCCGGACATGTTAACTCCCAATAAATCCTTTCTAAGTTTTGGAAGTTTGGCTCGGGACTCATGATTTCAATGGGGGAAACTACTAGAGCCCTGACAAGTGCATTTAGTGACCGGTTCAAGAAAGAGGAAAGAGGGAGAAAGAGAGAGAGAGAGAGAGAGAGACCAAAGATAACAGTCAGATAAGTGAAACCCAAGTCCGGCCCAGAAGTGTAGCCTGAGAAAGCACCTCAAATACACCCCAAGATAGAGAAAGGGAGAAGGAACCACATCCAGACTTGCAAGATTCTGCTACTATCACCTCACGCAGGTAGCCCTCAACTTACAACAGTTTGTTTAGCAACCTGTTGAAGATACAACGGCCCTGGGAAATGACAAAAGTGCCTGTGAAGAAAGTATAGAAATTATTTGTGGAAAAACTAGTCCAGGAAATACTGACCAGGGTCCAGCAGAGGGCGCTCCTGCCCTGGGAACAGGAGAGGCCCCTTCGCATAATAAGAAGCACATATACCGCCTAATACGGGATCTTCACCTATATCCTGTGTCCCTTTCGTCCAGGCGGATAATATAAAAATAAATTTCAAATAAAGAGCCAGTTAAAGTATCTTGTGTTTCGAATGGACCATATCACAATGGCCTTATAGGTTTGGATCCTGGCCATTTTAGCATCAATTCGAATAAGAATAAGAACACAATTGGACGCCACGCACGTTATTAAAATGTCCACTATGATCTGGTTCGAATGAAACAAATACGCCGCTGGACTCCTAGTGATGCTGGGCCCCTCCTGACCAGGGCTGACCCTCCCTTTAATGATAGCGGTGGAAGGAACTTAGAGGTCATCTATTCCAGGCTAGTGTTAACCGTCGTCCGTAATTCTCTTTTTCTTTCCCTCTT